TCTAGGAACAGAGTTCATCCGTTGTTTTAGTTGCCTCTCCATTCTTCCTCATGAAGAGTTCACGGGTGGCTCGGGGGAATAAAGTCTTGCATATCTCTGTGTTTTCCCTCACCCCCCCCACCACAATCTTCTGCACCCCAGTAAGAGACATTCCCCTCACTCTCCAGCAGATGATACTTGCCAAGAGCACGCAACGTTTAAACAGATACTCCTGCACATCTGTTGGTCTTCGGTTGCATGCGGCCAAGGACAAAAATAGGTTGACGGTCTAAGTTACAGCTCAGCTTTACAGAAGAAGAGAAGAGTCCACGCAAGTTAAGACTGAGGTAACTCGCAGGGCAAATTAAGGAAGCTATAGATGTGCTGCCAGAACACTCAACTGCCTGGTTCTGCAAGTGACCTCTATTTTAGCAAATGCCTCCCCGTTCTAGGGTGGCTCGCTGTAACCAGGTCCTTGTGTCACTCACTCAAGCCCTCTAAAACGCATCTGTTACTTTTAATAATTGAAGCTTCCTCCAGAGGCCGAACATGCCATCACTACTGCATAAAGCAGGGCTGGTTTCCATACAATAGCAGTGCATATGGGGATTCAATGAGATTATGCTAATAAAACCGGAGCAATTGTTTCAAGTCAACAGGCACCATGGCAACAATAACTTCTTCCCCTCTTTATTATGTGCACCAAGAGCGGACGTAGCCATAGACATTTAGCAAACTGATCTGTAAATCAAGATTCCCACTGCTCAAATCTCACCTCTGCCACAAATCCAATCAGTGGCCTTAGGCTAGCCACTCAATTAATTAACAAAACCAAAATCCACACTACTTTTTCACTACCAGGGCAGTGTAGAGACCATTCTTCAAAAAGGTAATTGTAAAAAGTAAACAAATGCATAAAAACAATTAAAGCAGCCAATTAAGATCAACAAAGACTGTAAATTTAAATCAATGCCATTATTTCAGAAGGTTCAAATAGCTTCAGTGCCGGCAACGACCACAACTCAATTATACAACACAAGCTCTGTACACAGAAGGTCCCAAATTCGATCCCTGGAATCTTCAGTTAAAATAATCTTAGATAGCAGGATCCGAGACCCTAGAAAGCCATTGGGACAAATAATTTAGCCTGATCTGTCCCTCTCAGCTTCGGATCATTCTGCAATAATACCAAGATAATGGGGGATACTATTGAGATTATATTTTACAAGTGCTTTTAATATTTCAGTGCTCATTCATATTATTGTCAGAGTGGGGAAGAGTCTCTCACAAGAGGACACACACCTCATGATGTGATTCTTCGCAGGTCTACGTTCTTTCTTGAACGCAGATTAATATTTAGACCATGAGCCAGCCAAAGCTGAACCTTTTTAAATGCTCCGCTGAATTTCGAGGACCAAAATTTAAAGCACATGCTCGAACAGCCCACTATAATCAAGGGGCTTCTCTAGAACGCTATTTACAATCCTTCCTATTTCCCCATCACACACCTGACGTGAAAATATCAACATATTGAACAACAGGAACAATTTAGAAGCAAGTGCAAACACTTTTTTTAAAAAATCAAGCTGTTGCCTGCCCTATTTTCTATGTACCTTTTCAGCCAAGCATAAATTTGCATTTTCCTATTCTGATTTACGCCACAACTTCAGCACCTTACTAGATTTCATATGCTATTCTTAAAAAACACTCAACTCAGACATGCAGCGCTACCGTACTGTGAGGCATCCTTGAAATGAAACACTTCTTCCTTCCCTGACACATTCGCTTCAAAAGGCAGGCAGTGACTAACTGAAACGAGACGGGATTCGTTTTTCAATGTGCCACCTTTTACAAGGTGGGCGGCTTCAGCCGTGGCCAGCCCTCTCCTCCGCCTCCCGCCTCCCAGAAGTCCCAGGTGGGTTCATCCCGATCCTGCTAAGTGCACAACGATGCTCTGAAGGTCAGGATTAACATGTACAATAAAAACGGAGGCTGGCCATTCAAGCTTTGCAATATGGCTGTCGACCAGCAAACTGAGCCAAGTGACTCTCAGGTGACCTGGCTGTTGCCACAGCTGCCACAAAGACCACCAACCCCCTGTGAAATCCATGCCATACATTCAGTATTCTTAGCAACATGTTGTTCAGCCCGAGCAGCTGCATGCAGAACTGATAGGTCCCCAACTGCCTGTCCTGACTTAAGACCAAAACTGCCACAATGCTAAGAGGGTAAATTTTCAGTGAGATCGTCAAGAAGGTAGAGAAAAAGGCATGGAGCGCGAAGGCTGCCACAATACAGCTTCTGTATTTCATGCGCATCTATGGAGCGCATTTTTTTTTTTTTAAAATAGTCAAGAACTGAGGTCCCCCAGAACAAAACGGATTAATAACATTATACACAAAAAGATAAGACAACAAGAATAAATTGGTCCAAGCTGAAAAAGACACAACCAGCAGCATACATATAATTGTGAAGGCACAAACAAAAATGAAAAACACTATCGGGGATAAAATAGTGCACACACAAAAAAAAACTAAAAGTGGATAAAACAGTTCCTAGCATTGTCTGGGAAATGAAGAGTGTCTTTACTCAGCATCGAAAAAGAGGAACTACAGAAAGGGGGGCCAGCTTCGCTTCCCCTGGACAACAGCTCCACAGCCAGGGGAGCAGCCGAACCAAGTGACTGCATCCTCCTCACCCTCCCGGTTTCCACAGGGAACCAAAAGAAAGCTCTTCCATGAAAAGTCTTTAAAACTCAGGCAGACTTGTAAGGAGAGGCAGAGTCTTTCCCATTTCAAATCTCACATATTTCAAGGGCCTAGGTGTGTTCTGTCAGTCACAGTAATCCTTAGAAAAGCCTTGTCAGGAAGGAAGGGGTCGCATCCCCTTCCTGCAAGCGCAGAGGTCTAATTTTTGTCTTACAATAGGACCAGGAAATTCACAACACCCTTGTTAACTCTCTCCGCGCATACATATTCTTTCTCCCTGCCTCCCTTTCGCATGCACACATATAGACCAGCTTTTCCACGCCAGGGTTCTCTGCCTTGAGATGGAAGATCGTCGAAGTCTGAGTCATGACTGGAGACTTCTGACTCATCGGCCATACCATGCCACACCAGTTCTAGGCAACAGGAAACAAAAGTGTCATAGGAAGGCTGTTTAATGCAGCTGAATTCTTCTTAAAGGTTCAGAACACTTCCATATTTGCTGTTGCCAATGCTCTCTCTTAAGTTCCACATAACAAAGCAAAGGCAAGTGTTTGACATGGTGCATGACTCCCAGGAACTAGAAAACAGGTGCCTGTTTTGCAGCAGATACCTGGTGCTTTCATGACCCAACACTTGCTTTCCAGTTGCATTCTCCTTCTGTGCCATGCAGATCAACCTAAGCCTGTAAACAGGCCTCTGATAAATAACATCCATCTACCACTTTTTAAAAAATAAAAATTGTTAAGTTTTGGATAATAGAGAGAACACAACACACAGTAACAAAGAGATCATTGGGTATACATACGAACGAATAGAGTTTAAATGGACCGTTTACAAATTTAAACACATCTTCCACTTCACAGGACATAGGTTACCAAGGAGGAGCTTACTCAACCTTGTTTTCCGTGCCCTCCTAGGCAGAATGACTAGCCTGGCCTTTTCTCAATCTCCACCAGGGAGTCTTCCAGATGTTCTAGACTATACTTTCCATCATCCCCACACAGATTCAGTTCTTTTATTTCTCCTCTCCTCAGTACATGCCATCGCAGTAGTCTGATGGACAACACCGTCCTAGAGAGTCATAGCCTTCTAATGTGGGTCAGAATAAAGACAGTCACTGACTGGAAATAGACGCTTTAGATCCAGTACGGCAGTCTCCTCCTTTACTGTAAAATCTCCCACACAATACAAGACTTTTTCTTTTAAAAAAAACTTCACAATTTTTTAAAATAATACCTTAATATTATCTTCTTAACCTAAGTAGGGATAGCATATTTTTTTAAACTGTCTAAATTGCCAACAACAGAGAGTTAAACATTAGATAATGACCAACATGAGTGACAATAATACCATGATCTGTTGCTCCCTTTCAAACCCAGCAAATCATCAATTTCATCACAGCACATACAGACAAAGCTACTTTCTACCAGTCAGATTAATAATCTGTCTAGTCTGGTATTGTCTTCTTTTCTCCAACGCTTTGTGTCAGGCCCTGCCCCTTGATCTACCACTTATCTGTTTTACTGAAGATGCCGGAGAATCAACCTGGGACCTTCTAGGTGGAAAGTGCATGGACTGACAATTAAATGACGGTCCATTCCCATTACCTTCCATCCAAGGTGGCCTTACTACGGCCAAAGTGGCTTTCACCGATTCTTCCGATCCCTCTTTTGATGGTAAATGGAAGAATGACATCAGCCCTAGCAACTTCCACGTCATAAAAGACCACCACTTTAAGAACAACATCCTACCTTCAGACGTGGTATGACATACGCAACTAGGTGATCCCACACCTGCCCTGTGGGCAGAAAGGCATACATGCTGTCTGATTTTCTAAATGTAAGGTTAGATCAACTTGAGCACAGAAGCAAAGCTAAATCCATAAGTCATCCTGCAATATTTCTTCCGAAAAAAGAGCTTCACCTGCCCTCGTGGGTCTCATCCGCAAACCACAGCACGGCTCCATCGTAACAAAATGTCAATTTTCACACAACCATATTAGTGACACTCATTTATACAGTACCAACACCACTGAGGCTGATGGCCCTTTAAAGAGTGACATGAACAAGGAGACATCCCTACCCCGATGAAGCCATAAAACACATTTTAGAAGTTTTCTTTCCGATTCAGAAAGAAGGGAGTAGTCTTAAGTAAAAGCAATGGCATGCACTCCGTTGCTAAAATCTTTTCTGAAATGAAATCTACCAAAGTAGCAGCCAAACAGCAAGATGAAGACGATGAGATGATAACACTTGTTTTAAAGACCAGGACCCTTACATAAGGCAGCTGAGGCCTTACCTCTCTGCAACTTACCTGCCAGGTCATGATGAATTAGGTCAGCAAAGTTAGGGTCATCACCCCACCAGAATATCCACAGTTCTCTGCGCCCAGGCCTCTGATCTCGCCGCCATACGCTCAAGACATCGGCCTTCAAGCAGCGACTGTAGCTGCTTAGGATGGGGTCTTCTTCTGTCACCGGGAAGAGAATTGGGGCCGATGTTGGGCCCTGCCATACGTATCGCTTCCATTTAATCCCTGTTAAATCGGCCTGAAGAAAAAAGCACAACAGCCAGTTAGAGCGACATGTGAGTTTCTCAATCCACCAAAACCAGAGGTTGTGATTCAAACCACTTTACACTGGCTCCTAACCCAATGAATACACATTAATTATGAAGCCTACTTTTCAAGGATAAGAGCCTGACAAAACCTAAGGGCTATAGGTTCAAACTGTACTTTACTCCGTCCGCTGAAAAGTTTTTTTACTCCAACAGAAGAGAATTCTGTCATAGGATGAAAAAGCACCCAAGACCACCATTTTGATTTATGCAGTGATATTTTTTGACAACCTAGTCAATAACTCAATATAAAGAACCTGTTTCCTGCAACCTTGTTACAAATGCAAATGCATAAATGTAAATGAGCAATAACCGTCTGCTTCAACAGGACATTTACTATTCGAAACAATCCTGCAGCAAAACCGAACCAATCGTTTTTTTAAAGAAAGACATTCTACTGAAAACATGAAGTGTCACATTTTCCACTCAACAGACCTCAGAATCCAATCCAGAAAAATATATATTAAAAAAACTGCTGGGGCAACTTTTGAGCAACCTTGGGACAGGGGAAGCACTTCAAGAAAACAGTAAGCAATTTGTTTTCTCCTTCTCCACCTTAGAAACAATCCTTTTAAAAAAAATTGGTTTCAACAATTTTTCTCCAAAGGCTTAGGGTCAAAACAAATTATGCAGGAGAGCAAAGCAGCTGGTTCAAGGTCCAACTTTACAATCCAGCTGTTGGTGGAAGGTGCTGTTCCTTTTGCTCAACTCCCCTTCCGTCTCCCTGCACATGTTGTCCATAAAGGTTTCCCTGCCTATTTCACTCCCATCAGGAAACGTCCCTTGCCCCTGTCAAATGGCAGAGTCAGCAACAGTTGGTGCTCCTGGGATGGGGGTGGGAGGCAAGTCTTAAAAGACACGGGCAACTTTTGAGTAACAGCCACTGCAGTCCACAAACTGACATCTTGCAGATATCCCCAGGACTGGCCTTTTGTCTCCCCCCCCACCTCTCCAGTTTCCTATAAGCACAGCATTATAGCTAGATTTACTTCCAGGGTGAAAGAAAAGCAGACAGTCAACAAGAAAAAACACAGAAAAGAGGTTAGCAACAAGCAGCCTGGCCTGGAAGTTCTACTGAATCCTGAACTGATCAAGGCTTAACTCCTGGCTGCCATGGTGGGGAGGGGGGCTGGGGTGAAAGGAGACAAGGTTACAACCTTGTATGGGGGAGGAGAGTATTTTACCCTCATATATATATACCTTTTTTTAAAAAAAACACAGCAACAAAATGTAACCTCCAAATAGTAACACAGGCTTTTCTCGCCACCCTCAAAAGCCACTTTTGCCTCCAATTACAGTAGGTTGTCACTTTTGTGGAAGGAAGCGAAAAGAGATTCCCCCCCTCTTTTTTTAAAAAAAAAGGTGGAATCAAGCAAACCTAGCTCCAGTAGCAGAAAACAAGGAGAGGAGTAGGAAAAAAAGAGAAGAGCAGCCTGGGTCATGAAAAAAAAGAAGGCAAACTACAGCAGGATAAGATACCTCTTCTTCCCCAGAAAGGCTGTAACCAACCATAATGGGGAAAGGGGGGGGGGACCGTGAGAGAGAGAAAGGGGGAGGATGAAAAATCTAAGTTGAGAGAAAGAGAACAACAAAAGGGAAAGCGAAGAAATAGTACAGGAGGAAAGGAAGAGAGGCAAGGGCTAGGGAGCAAACGGCCTCGGAAGAGGAGGGGAAAAAGGGACAGAGAAATATATATATATGTGTGTGTGTGTGTATATATATATGTATGTATGTACGTATGTATGTATATGTATATATATAATACACACACACGGGGGAGCTGGGCGATTCCTGCCAAGGCCTGCTCTAGAGGACTCCTCCAGCAGAGAAGCAATGCTAAAAATGGCTGCTTTGCTGCCATTCCTCTCTCTCTCACACACACACACACACACATTCACACACACTCACACTCCCTCCCCCCTTTCCTTTTCTCCCCTCTGCTGGCGATCTCGTCTCCCTTCGCCGCCGCCGCCGCCTCTTCTCCGCTTCTCTCGTT